GGTCATTTCGAGAATATGAATTTAAATCTATAAATTATCAACAATTTAAAGATTCTAACTCTTCGGATTGTTGAAAATATATTTTAAAATGTTTATTTTTTGGTAACTGTGATTGTTAACATCAATGGAGATAAAAAAACAATTTAATTTTATATTAAATAACACGTTTATCCTTAATAAAAAATTAGAGTAGTTCGAAAAATATTAAAAAATTTGTTGATATATATATTTAATATGATAAATAAATAAAAGAAAGAAAGAGAAAAATAGGAGAAAAAAATCTCACGAATCAAGATATAGAATCTCTCTGATTATGAGAAATTTGATATTCGTAGATTTTAGAGATTTGAAATCTCTAAAGCTAAATCCACAATACAAAAAGCAATAAAAAACATAACTTTCTACATAATCTACGGATTCAATGAATTCAAACCCTAAATCACGTTCTCCAAACGACCCCTAAGTCCAACAACAAGTGTAGCCGAGCTTGGGTGGATGAAGAGATTTATTGGCGGCAAAAGTCTAGGGTGGGTTGGTTAAAGGAGGGTGACCAAAATACCTCTTATTTCCATAATGTTACTAGGACTCGTCGTCGCCATAATTTCATCCGGAGCCTCAAAAATTCGGCGGGCATTTCGGTGACGTCGGAGGAGGGAAAACCTCAGGTTGCTAATGACTTTTATGCTCACCTTTTCACGACCAGAGGATTGGATTTGCAGTCGGTTTTGGATAGAGTGGCGACATTGCAGATTGAGAGGAGAGTAACGGATCATATGAATGCTAGATTAACTGTCGAGGTCTCCTCGGAGGAAATTCGTCGCAGTGTCTTCCAAATCGGAGCGATGCAAGCACCGGGATCGGATGAGTTCACAGGAATGTTCTATCAAAAGTTTTGGGATATAGTGGGTCCTGATGTGGTTGAGGCAGTCCGACATTTTTCGGCACTGGTTCCCTCCTTAAAAACTGTAATCATACCTGGCTGGTTCTTATCCCAAAGGTAGATAAGGCTGAACATATGAAGGACCTTCGCCCCATTAGTCTCTGTCAATTTTCCTATAAAATCATTGTCAAGATTTTGGCTGAGAGGCTTGCTCGGTACTTGCCATCTATTGTCTCTCCGGGGCAAAATGGGTTTGTACGTGGCAGGCAAATTGTGGATAATGTTCTTATAGGGCATGAGGTAATGTAGTACCTGAAAAATAAGAGGGTGGGAAAGCAGAGTTTCATGGTTGTCTAGGTGGATATGGAGAAGGCATATGATAGGGTGAAATGACCTTTTTTGTTCGTATTGCTTGAGAAACTTGGTTTCAGTGCGCAATGGATTAGATGGCTACGGGTTTGTGTGTCTTCTTTGATGTTTTCTGTTATGATGAATGGTCAGCCTACTGGTTATTTCCAAGCTTCACGGGGTCTTCGACAAGATGATCCATTGTCCCGCTTTTGTTTTCCATATGTACAGTGGGCTTTGCTGCTCTACTTCAGCAAGCGATTTCGTCTCGTGCTCTTTCTAGTCTCCGTATTAGTCCTAAATGTCCTGTGGTATCGCACATGTTCTTCGCAGATGACTCTTACCTATTTCTGCGAGCGTCTCGAGCCGACTATGTTAGTCTCATGAGGCTTTTGCAACAGTATGAGGAGCTCATAGTTCAAAAGGTCATTTTGGCGAAGTCGGCGGTATGCTTTAGCAGGAATGTGCTTACAGTGGATGAGCAGGAGATGGGGCAGTTACTTGGGATTGGATCTGTTGGTGTAACAGATCAATACTTGGGTCTCTCCTCTCTGGTTGGGCGGTCTAAGTATGATACATTCCGTTATATGGAGGAGAGTCATTAAAAAACTCCAGGGCTGGAACAACACTGTCTATCTTGGGCTGCTAAAGAAGTACTTCTTAAAGCAGTTGCTAATGCATTTCCCATCTATGGTATGTCTTGTTTCCTCTTTCCTTATGTCGTTCGTTAGATCGACATTTGGATAGGTTTTTGTGGGGGGTCAAACAAGGCGAAAGGCGGATTCATGGGTTTCTTAGAAAGCGATGTGCATGAGTAAGCATGAGGGTTGGTTAGGTTTCTGAAGATTTGAGGAATTTAACCAAACTCTTTTGGCTAAGGTGGCTTGGCGAATCCTGAAGGAACCCAACTCCGTATAAAGGGAAATACTTTCCGAATTCCACTATCCTGTGTGCAAAGACTGGATCTTTACCATCATGGGGATGGCGGGGGATACTCCGAGGTCGTTACCGACTTCTACAAGGGCTCAGATGGCAAATTGGTTCAGGTGACTCGGTAGAGGTACTTACAGATAATTGGGTGTCGGCTTTGCATCCTTTTCCCCCAAAACCCCGTTAGAAGGGAAGGTGGCGTCTTTGATTTGTCCTAATCAGGGAGTGCGGAGATTAGATTGCCTCCGTCAAATCTTTGAAGAGGACACGGTCAAAGCAATTTTAGCCATTCCCCTACTATCAAATCTGGTTATCATAAGGCGGTCGAGTTAAGATGTAAGAATGAGCTCAAGGTGCAGGCGGTCGCTCAGACCGTAGCCTTTGGAAACGAATTTGGGGCACTCCTATACCTCCCAAACGGCGGTATTTTATATAGCAGTTAGTCTGTGGTGTCTTGCCGACTGGTGAGGCACTGTGTACTTGCGGGGTGGGGGGCTGGAGCAATGGCCAGTCAGCGGAGAGGAGGTGGAGTCTCTTGAGCATCTCTTCTTCTGATGTCATGTGGCGGTGCAACTTTGGGACGGGGCAGAGCTTCAACAGCTGAGAGATCGGTACCCAGTTAATAATATAAGCATCTTTTGGCGCAGGATACCCGAAGGGGGGGGGGGGGGGGGGGGGGGGGGGGGAGATCTGGATCGGAGCACGATAATGAGGATTGTGGCTCTTTTTGGCGTGTTTGGCGTGCTCGAAGTTGGGTAGCTTTTTACTTTACGTAGTTCATTGTCCCTATTTTGCTCTCACAATTTCCCTTGCAGGTCTCAGAGTGGGATTCCATTCCCGAAAACCAGCGTCGGCCTCTTTCGGGTCTCGGTGGTCCTCCCCCCTCGGCTAGGGAAGCGGTGCCGCATGGGGAGCTGGTGTTGTTTGTCGACGGAGCCACTCTGCGCGGTTCACACGGGGCGGGTGGCTGGATTTTGCAGGATCCGTCAGTCATGGTAGTGGAGGCTTCGGCAACATTATATGTGAGGATTTTTGACCCTCTCTGGTGGAGCTGTTAGATTTTCGAGATGCAATTCGTTGGTGTTTGGCACGTGGACTACATTCAGTCATCTTTGCCGGAGATGCCCAGGTGGTGATTCGAAGGATTCGGGAAGGTCGTTGATGGATTCATTTATGATATTTAGTATCCGGTTTGTTGGTAGAGATGGTAACAGGGTTGCTCATTTGGTGGCAAAAAAGGCCCTTTCGACGTTCCCTTTTTTAGTAGAGTTCGATTTTGTTTCTTGGCTGTATTCAGCCGTGTGACTTCTCGTATCTGGCTTTCTCAGTAATATGAGTGATCTTTTGGCAACAAAAAAAAAACCCAACACGTCCCTTATGGTTACAAATAGGGAGGTAATATACATATAAATTGACGGACTCATAAAAAGAAAGAAAAATTGATTCATAATCACAAAAAATAATCTCTTACAATCTCATCTATAAGTTGTGATTCTAAATGCAATACATTGTGTCTAGGGCTGCAAATGAGCCAAGCCGCTCGCGAGAAACTCGGCGTTTGATTCGAAAAAACCTCGTTCGAAACTCGACTCGTTGTTTAACAAGCCGGTTCGCGAGCCGACTCGTTAGTAAACAAGCCAAGCTTGAGCTAGACCATGCTCAGCTTGATAAGCTCGTGAGCTTGTTGACTCGGTGGCTTGTTGAGCTAAGCTCGCGAGCTGGCTTTTTTAGAGCTTGTGGAAGGATTAGTTACTCTTTTGAACTTGAAAATTATCATGTTAATAAGGATGTGTATGAAAGTTAGATGTTATTTTTAGTTTCTAGTGTTCTTTTTATCATTTTTAGTTTCTAATATTCTTATTTGTACACATTTTTCAACAAAGAATGGTTTCAAATCAAGCTCATCTTGAGCAGAACTTGTACTCAGCTTGACAAGCTGTGTTAATGAACATTTATCGAGCTCTATCAAGCCGAGCTCGAGCTGGATTATTTTTAATCGAGTCGAGCTCGAGCTCGAGCTAGATGATCAAAATTCGAGTTCGAGCCGAGCTCGAGCTGAAAAATTTATAAACGAGCCGAGCTCAAGCTGAGCAAAAACTCGACTCAGCTCGTTTGCAGCCCTAATTGTGTCTTAATTTGGCACAAAAAATCGATCGCAGCAACCAAACCAAATGACCCCTTAATTCTTCTCGATTACTTGTTTATCTAACCCAGACTTGGATAGCAGAAGACTGTCTAGAGAATAGCATGACGACAATCACAACTCAATTAGCTATGACTGATTGATTTTCACAACATAGAGTGATGGATTGAATAGCAAAGGAGATGAAGGCCATTGAGCTACTGCTTCATCGCAGAGCAAAACTTTGTTAGGATCGTTAGGGCAAACCAATGGAAGAAAGTGGAGAGTTGTTAATTGTCCTCCACATTGTTCAGCCTTCATCATCCATGCACATTTGGATGTGAGTAGTGTGGCTCGTTAACGCCTTTTCGACAAGCACTGTCTGTTTTTAGCAGCATAACCGGACCATATAGCTGCGCAGAAAACAGGCAACGCCAAGCAACAATCTCGGAACTTTCATCAAACACTTTGCAGGCGTCTCCGCTTTATTCTCAAATTCTTGCAAGCACCAGAAACAAAAGCTGAAATAGACAGACAAATCTTCACCAAATACACAAAAACAGATAGCCGATTTTGGAAGCAACGAGAGAATCCAATCCACACAACAAACATTCAAGTTCAGTGACGGCAGAAAACACGATAATTTGACCAGTAAACAGAGTTTTGATTACGAACATTGATCAATCCGATCAGAGGCAATCCAATCCAATCCAATCAATTCTAAGCTGATGTGGGCTTGTAATCGACGACCAGGACTTTGTCGAGGGCAGGCAAGAACTTGTTGGCGAACTCCACATGGACAGGATGAGCCACGTACTCCGCGATCCCTTCAGTGCTCTCAAAAGTGGAGACGAAGACGTGAGTGAACCCCTGGTGCAGATTCTCGATGCTCACATCCGTTCCCCTGCTCGAAGAATTCTCACTCATCAGATTCATATCGTGAATTGAGGGGAAATAAAAACCGGGTAGGTGGATGATTCTATCTATACACATTATTACCAGTGGAAACCCTTCATGGGTTCGATGAGATTGACCAGATTGGAGTAACCCTTGATCAGGTTTTCGATCTCCTCGGCTGAAATCTCCGGCTTGAACTTGGCGAGCAGGACGTGCTTCACTTCTCCTTTTCCTTCTTCCATCTCTGCTCCTTCCTTGACTTCAACGCTTCTCTCTTGTTTTCGAGCTTCGGGTGTCGTGTGAGACTGAAAGAGGAAATCAATGAAGGCATAAACTTAAGCTAACTCGTGTACGAATTTTAAAATATTTTTTTATTATATCTCGTGTCGGATACTATGCTAACCCTTAAAGGGGTAGTGATTTTCGACACCCCCTTTATGATTGGCCAATTTTATTTCCAATCATTGGCAAGTATTAATTAAACTGGTTTTTTATTTTTTTTAATCTGGTAATTTGGGGTCTTTCACCCACATTGGAAAGGGAAAGAATATGGGGAATCAGAAAAAAGCTCCCCCCAAATGTGCAATTAATTGCCTTTTTTTCTTCCTTTCGTCTCCTTCTCTCTCCATTTGGGCCACTTTCCATTTTGATTTCATTTTAACCAGAACCCTCCTCTACTCTGAAACGACCAAAACCCTCCCCCATTTTCATCTTCATCTTCCTCTTCCTCCCGCAGCCGCCACCGCCATCACCCCTCTCCGCCATCTTCATCCACGCCTTCCACCTGTGCCGCCTCCATCCCTCCAACCGTCGTACTCCTCCAGCGCCTTCCCCCACCACCATCCTCCTATCTCCAGCTGCCGCCATCCTGGGATCGCCTCTGACCTACCTTGTGGATTGCTCGCACCAGTGGAGTGGTACGTGTACCAGTGGAATGGTACGTGTACCGGTGGAGTGGTACGTGTACCAGTGGAGTGGTACGTGTACCAGTGGAGTGGTACGTGTACCAGTGGAGTGGTATTTGTATCATTGAAGTGGTACTGCATTGTTGCTCCGTTATTGTTTATCATTATTATGAAAAATATCATTGCACTGGTATTGTTCTCACTCTAACTCGTATTTGCCACTTATAATGTACCACTTCATTTGTATTTTGTATGAGAGAAATACACTACACGCCACTAAACTATAAGAATTGGGGGAAGGATACTACTAATGTGAAAATAGAGCACCAAATACCATTAAAGTTCCCAAAATATGCATCCATTAAATTCTTCATCAATTTGATTAACCAAATGAATACAATATATTTTTCCACCTCAAGCCTCTTTAACTTTTGTTGAAACTCGACATTAAGAGTTGCTGGACCATAAATATCTTCATTGTCATTGCTCCATTTTGCAAGCTCCCTAATCGCTCTCGCTTGTAGTCCAGAACGTGCTCTACTCCCTGCTCCGTGTGATTTGTCTTTCCTAGCGTGCATCCGACGCCGCTCCACAACTTCTCGAGGAACTCACTGCTCTGACTGAAATCAAAGAAGGTAAAATCAAAAGTCAAACCAATAAATATAACTACTGATAGATGAGATCAACAATAAGACTTTCACTGCAGATATATCAATCCATTGGCTCTATCCTAGAAAGCCATTCTAAACATAACTACTACTACGGTAGTTGTACTTTAAACAACCATAATGATTTTGTTTCTACCACTACAGTGATAGCACTACCACAAAAACATCACAATGAACTACCACTGCAGCGATAGATCAACAACTGCAGTGATAGATCTACCACTAAAGTGATAGACACAATATGCCACAAAAACATTCACATGGTTAACTATATCAATGTGTTGATAGACTGCAGTCAAATAAACAACACTACATTATCCAAGAATCAACTATCACTGGAGTGGTATACTTCCGTACCAGAATCAACAATTTATACCACTCCAGTGATAGACATACCACTGGAATAACATTCAACAAAAACTCAAACACTACAATTATCATTGTAGTGGTAACATTACCACAAGAATAAAAACATCTTCGTGGGTATGAGAGAGAAAAACTAGACTGATAAGGAATAATTAAAAAATCACAAATCTAGAAAAATCCAGGATAATGATAAACTACCAGTACACTGGTACCAATACCAGTACTCACATATGAGTATAATCATAAACTACCAGTTCACTGGTATCAATACCAGTTCTACGCCAAAAACCCAGATCTGGGTATGGGAGAGAGAGATAGTGGGACGGAGAGAGTTACCTCAGATTCTTCGTCGTCGTCGTCGCCGGTAAGGGAAGGATGGCTAGTGTAGGAAGGGGAGACGGGTCGTCATCTTTGCCGGGAAGGTGAGGATGATCATTGTCTTCTCCGTCGATCCTTTCACAGTGCCAAGCTTGTGGAAGGAGATGGAGAGTTACGGCAAGCTTGGTGTTGCTCGGAGAACAGCGATAGTCACGATCTAAGACATAGCCACGATGGAGGATGCGGGACAGAGCCGGAGGGAGATGTGGACTGTGACGGTGAATAAGCGACGACGGCGAGTAGGGGAAGAGGGAATCGAGGGAGAGAGGAGGAAACGAAACGGAGAGAAAAAAGGGGAGAAGAAAAGGGTTTCGAATGGGGCTCGTTTTTCCCCAGATTCTTTCTCTTTTCCAATGTGGTGAGAGAAATTAATTATGTAATTAATGTATAAAAAAACAGGTGATTAATACTTACCATTGGATTAGATGGATGGTATCTAAGAGGGGTGTCAAAAATCACTACCCCTCAAGCTAACCGATCACGTACAGATTTGATGACTAATCTCATGTGCTTAGTCAACTGATTAAGTCAATTTGTACCGTCAGATCAGTCCTTTGTATTATAATCAAGATCCAACGGTCATGGTTCTCATCCTTAACTAAATCACTTTGTCATTTGTTCCACGGCCCAATGAAATAAGGCTGAAAGCGAAGCAAGCCCAATCCAAGCCCAGTAATGTCTCGCGATCTAATCACATAATTTCTTATCCGGCTGAGACTGACTTGACTGAGAAAGCAAAAAACAGAAACCGGAAGCCATCCACGTAGACTCTGAACCAGAGGGAAAGGAGAAGCAGCAAGAGTTAGCAATGGCGACAATCGCCCAGCAGCAGTTCGCCGGACTTCGATGCCCGCCGCTCTCGACTTCTCACCTAGCCAGAAGGGCCGCCGCTGTCGGGGTTTCTTCCTTCCCGACTTCTCGCTCCGGCAGAAAGTCCAATTTCATCGTGTCGGCCGTCGCAATATCAAATGCACAGACCAAAGACCGGCAAGAGCTGAAGCAGCTCTTCGAGGACGCTTACGAGCGCTGCCGTACCGCTCCCATGGAAGGAGTTTCGTTCACCGCCAAGGATTTCATCGCTGCTCTCGACAACTACGACTTCAATTCCGAGATTGGTACCAAGGTTCTCTTCTTCCTCTTCTCCCTCCGCTCTTTTACCTGATAGCAATGTGCGAATTTGAAGCTTTTTCTGGTTCTAGAATGTAATGTGTGGGGAATTTTTTTATTCAAAATTTGCTAATTCAGGTGAAGGGAACGGTTTTCATGACTGACGCGAATGGCGCATTCGTCGACATCACTGCCAAGTCCTCCGCGTATTTGCCATTGCAAGAGGCGTCCATTCACAAGCTGAAGCATGTGGAGGAAGCTGGCATACTTCCTGGAATGAGGGAAGAGTTTGTAATCATCGGTGAGAATGAGGACGACGATAGCCTGATCTTGAGCTTGAAGATGACTCAGTATGATCTCGCTTGGGAAAGGTGTAGGCAACTTCAAGCTGAGGATGTCATTGTGAAGGGTAAGGTGAGTAACTTCGGCTCTCTTCTCGAAGTTTTCCCTCAGTTTTTCAAACTTCTTCGTGCTTCAATCTCCAACAAGTGGGAAAATGTTTGATTTCGCAATTTGCAGGTTGTTGGTGCAAACAAAGGTGGAGTAGTTGCTGTGGTGGAGGGCATGCGAGGATTCGTTCCATTTTCGCAGATATCATCAGTGAGTTCTTTGCATTATGGATAGTCCTTTTCACATCCATTTTCGCAGATATCATCAGTGAGTTCTTTGCATTATGGATAGTCCTTTTCACATCTCTAGAGTTTGTACAATGTTGGCAAGTTACCACTTTCCGGGTGGTATGTTAGTCAATGGACTGCTCAATTTGAAGGATTGCTTGATCATCCGGTGATTCGAAGTTTTGACCTTCCCCCTGCAGAAATTAACAGCAGATGAACTCCTGGATAAGGAGCTCCCATTGAAGTTTGTTGATGTCGATGAGGAACAGTCTAGACTTGTATTCAGCAACAGGAAGGCCATGGCTGATAGTCAAGCGCAGCTTGGTATTGGATCGGTGGTCACTGGAACGGTGCAGAGTCTGAAACCGTATGGTGCATTTATTGATATCGGTGGAATCAATGGCCTTCTCCATGTGAGTCAAATTAGTCACGATCGTGTGGCTGACATTGCAACAGTTCTTCAACCTGGAGATACTCTCAAGGTTAGTATAGTCATCTATTGATCATCATCATGGTCACTGTTCTTCAGGTCCCTTACCTAAGCTAGTAGGAGAGAGGCGATAAGTTTTCTTGTCGTGCAGGTCATGATTCTAAGCCATGACCGTGAGAGAGGTCGTGTGAGTCTTTCTACCAAGAAGCTGGAGCCCACCCCTGGCGATATGATCCGCAACCCAAAGCTTGTTTTTGAGAAGGTAATTCTTGGAACTGAAAATTTTATCATGAACGTTCTGTTTCTATACAGAATTCAAGGTTACTGGCTTTTGTTGGCCACTTCGGTTTTGCGATTTCCGGATCACGGATCCTTCCCTTTTGGCAATGCTTGAACAGGCTGAGGAGATGGCCCAGACATTCCGGCAGAGAATCGCTCAAGCGGAAGCCATGGCGCGAGCTGATATGTTGAGATTTCAGCCTGAGGTAAGTGAATAATGTGCAGTTTTAACTCCATTACCAGATCGATACCTAGAGGGCTTAAGAAGAAATCTCATTCAACACAACGTTGCATGCTCTTCTTTTTGCAGAGTGGACTGACCCTAAATTCCGATGGGATTCTTGGGCCATTGTCATCTGATATGCCTGCTGAAGGTTTAGACTTGAGCGACCTTCCTCCAGAGGAAGAATGATCGTTCTTTTTCTCGTTTATTGATCTTCTCCTCTGTTGTAATGCAAATAGATTCTTTTCAACTGAGCAATTCTAATCCGTGTAATTTGTGATCTTTCTTGAGCACCAAGCATCCCTCTTTCAGTGCAAAGATCCCATATCCGTTACAGTAAATCGTATAACAGTTTGAACATCTAAAATTATGGTACTAGATACATCTCTTTTCACTAATTCTCTGTAAAACTTTTATGTACAAATCAACACTTGTATTACTATTTGTTATCCTTCTTGTCGCTCTTCTTCCCTTTCTTTTGCTTCTGCTTCAATTGCGTCAACCCAGCAGCGCTAATCTTCACGTTCCCAATTGTTGCGGCAAACAGTTGTGGATCAGTACAAGCCTTCATCAGCTCTTTCTCCCTGGCGCTTGCCTCTGCCGTGTGATTAAACAAGTTCATTGCAGTTTTTGCAGCTGCACAAGGTACACAGGAAGGCCATACTTTAGGCAAACACAATCACAAATAGAGAGAAAAAAAGTTCGGATCGAACACGGTTTGATTTGTTTAGATTCCACAGGCCCTCTAAAAAAATTAGAGAAAAAGGCAGAGGTAGACTGATCAAAATTCAAAGCTGGCTAGGACTCGGGCAGAGGCAGACTGATCAAAATTAAAAAACGGATCAAACTCAGACCAAACTACTTTTGCTTTGACTCTAATCCTCAATTTTCTTTATGTTGATCCTGCCCTACGTCGATTTAATTCAATTCTGAACCAGACCGAATCATGCACACCTCTGGACGGAGCAGATTAAAATAGGCGAAGTGTCAATGAAATCATCATCCAATTAGATGTGCTACGAGACTTACCACTGACCGGTACCTTCTCCTTCATGGTAACTGTGTTCACCTGTTCTTTCTCCTCATCCGTCTTCTGTGCATTGCCTGCAGACTGAAACATGACCATTGTATCGTTTGATGAGTAAGCAGAAGCTCAAACAAACTTTATTCATCAAGAGCTTAGTTTACGGGCATTTATTCATATTTCTGATGTGAGAATAACATGGTTGATGCAGAGTTCATATTGAGGGCAGTAAGACTCACAGCCAACAATGCCATCCGAATTCGCCTCTCTTCCTCATCCTGATCAGCATACTTCACCTTCATCTTCTTAAGCTTGCTCTTCTAACCACGGCCGACTTTTCCACCTCCAGGTTTACTACTCGGGATATTTGTGTCAGATTGATCAACAGATACACCAGCAGCGTCTTTTACTTCTTCTGGTTGATGCTCCGTCTCAGTATGACCACCAGCTCTACCTCCTTTCTTCAGCTTCCTTCTTTCAGCTTTTGAGACATATGGGTTATCTCTCCCTGTTGCCTTTCTGTCTTCCTCATCATGTTCCTCTTCTATATTAGTTTGAGCTGCTGCTTCAACCGTATAGTTCATTCCAGATGTAGTAGTTGCCCCAATCCCAAGAGCCCTGTCGAAGATATCCTCAAGTTGTGGAGTGACAGAAGCAACACCATTTCCACTAGGATTGTCGTTCGGTTCTGAACTGGAGATGGTACAGTCATCAGCCTTGGTTTCTACTTCTGTTCCCTCTTGATCGGAATCTGAATCAGAAATGTCCTCCTCAAGAGGACCACTTTCAGTAATAATATCACTCGTCCCATCTTCCTCGCCTCTTACCCTTCGTTCATTCAGATGAGCACCCAAAGAGCTCTCATCCAAGCGGAATAACAAACCAAATCCAATGATGAGAGGATGAGGGGGGAGATAGTTCTTCTTTCCGCGGATCATGAAGCTTCAACCTGTGAGATATTCTCCCGTGGGAGCAGTTTTGCTCACCTGGTGAGGGTACACCCACCATGCACTAGTCACGATTTTTGAATCCCATGCTTGGCTGTGGCAGACCTACAAACAAACATTAACTTAGGGTTAGTTGTTGTTGGGCCTAGTATTGACATACGTGGGCCTGAGGCCCATGGTTACAAAAGCCCATAAAAGGTTAAGTCAAACCAAGGTGGTCTAGTCCAGGCCCATCGTGGTAACCGCCCGACAGTGACGTACAGCTGACGTCAGTAAACCGCCCGACAGAAGGACTGAGGCTCTGCCAGACAGAGAGGATCAGACATTCGTACTGATACAACATTTAATGTCTCCAGAGGCGTCCCAGACCGCCCGACATGACATTAAATGTCTCAGCCTTAAGACCAAGCTAGTATAAATAGCCCCAAAGGGGCAGCATTTATGGTAACTCCGATCAACCGAATTCTCTCTCTTATTTACATTCATCACTTCTCTCTCTAACTTAGGCATCGGAGGAGGTCCCAGGTTATACCTGAGGACCTTTCTTGTAGGATCAAGGAGACCGCCTTCCATCTACTGAAGCCGCCAGAGGTCGTGGAGTCTCACACAACTGCCTGGGACGATCCAGGCACAAACAGTTGTATTTTCAAATTAGTGTTGTTTGTCTCCCATCAATTCACTTTAAATTGTTCTTCCCAAGTTATGGGTATAGGGTTAAAGCTGAAACAAACACACCTCATAGAACTTAGGAAGCACAGCTTACAGTGAAACATCCAGCTTGATTTAAAGTCAAAGGAGGAACTGCTTGGTCAGGCCCATGATTCTTGATCACTGTACTAGAAGCTCCATGTAGCTCAGCATGAACATACCTGTTCAACAGGGGAACTGAGTAACATTTTTTCTTTTGCTTTCAAATATCTTCACTTCATAATATATGTCCAACAATAAAAAGCTTAAACATTTATCCCATTTAGGAACTTGAATAGGATGAAAAGCACACTCACAGATCTCCCCTTGACTTGTAACGCTTCACTATCATCTCATTCTGTTGAGCATCACGGCCACTAATAACTAGATAGTTCTCACTGCTGATAAACCAATTAAATTTCTCAAACCAGTGAACTTTCCGAATATGCGATATTGTAGCAACAGATTTCTCCTGCATATAGATTACCCATAAATCAACATCACATACAGTCTTATGAAGAAAAGGCTAGATGTAAATAGCTGAAATCTCAAAATAGGCAGCTACCTGAGAATGCTGAATACGAGTCTTTCTCTCAGCTGCTTTAAAAGTTTTTTCATGTGCTTTAACAGTCTTTTCCTGCTTAGTTTCTTTCATACCACCTACGAGCATTGGCACGAGCAGAAAGAGCTATATCAACTTCTACCTGATAGTGGAAACATGTCAACAACTAGATATATTTTGTTGAAACAGCCTATAGCAGATGGTCATAACATATTAATTAGAAAAAGCATCAATTACAAAGATTCCTAACAGCTCGAATAAAATTCCATGACAGCCTTATCTGCTGGAAGAGTCTTCTCATCATCATCCATATCATCAAGATTGTTGCTCAACAGCAATGTCATGCAGTTCTTTTCAAGATGAAGCTTGTCAATAAGCGCAGCCACAGGATTCCCTGATTTCCTTTCTTCCTTTGCCATACGAGCAAGATCCTCCCAACTCATTCCTTTGGCAAGAGCAACACGAACAGCAAGGATCGCAGCATCAACATCTTCCAAGTTGTACTCTATCAGTTCTGCCATTTTAACAAATTGATCGACTTCTTTCCTAAGCTTCAGCACACGGCTTTCCTACAACATATAGAATTTAAAAGTTGAAACCTCAGCAGATACAAACTGTTGCTCAAAAAGATTATGAAGAAAAATAGAAACAATTTCTTTCTATTCTTTACTTGTGTTTTTCACTAAAAAAAGGATCTGGGACAATCAAGATAATATGTAGAAATCCTTGTCCTAATAACCATCAGTAAAGGAAGCAATCTTCTTAACATATCACCTCTATTGGATTATGAGATCAGACATGTGGGTGAAATCAAGTAAAGTTATTGATTTATGCACATGTTGAAATAAAACAGTATTTTCATCTATCATAACACCACAAGAAATACTTTAAAATGCAATTGGAGTTTGCAATATAGCAAACATGACTAAAGTGGCAACAGAATAACAAAAAACACAATCTCCATCCGCTTTACATCAAAGTGAGGTAATCTACAGACCTGATCTGTGCGTACCTTATTTAATTTTTGAACAGCAGAGTCTTCTTTTGCCTTCTGCTGAAGCTCTGATCGTTGACTTTCAATTTTGCTATAAAACTCATCTAGTGCTGCATCAAATGTGTCGAACTTCTCATGTTCCCTTGTTTTGAACTGGTTTAACAATATTGGGCAGAACTCGTCATACATCTGCAGTGGATAGCTAAACTGTGAGTTTCAAGCAGCAATACCTAAGACTATATTTCTTCTGCACTAGCTCTAACCCATATGAATTATCATAATAATTTCCTTTTCCCTAAATTAAGCTTGATACTCAAAGTTAGAGATAGCATAAACCATCTATGTCTTCTGCACCTTCTGTTAGTAACTGAATGGCCGAGAATAAGGAGAGAAAAAAGAGAAGCATTAGCACTGGATGCATGCATGAAGATGAGAAACTTATGGATAAAACAGAAGCAACCTTGATATGACCACCAGATTCAGATGGTGCACTGTTTCTGCCAACATTGTCCTTTTGCATCAAAATGTACCCCTCTGGAATTTTTTCACCTGAAATAATGTCTTGTAGCCAATCTTCAAACCTTTTGACAGCCTCAAGCAAAACCTGTATTGCATCTTCATCTAGCTTGTTACTTGCAGAAAGTTTTGTATTTGGAGCTAGACCAGCATCTAATATCATATGGTCAGATAGTTGAGGACCATAACCCAATGCTTCCCCAAGAACAGTCTTCAGTGTTACTTGTTTGGCACAATTCCCTTGATCAGAATTTTTTTTTCGACTCAGAAGCTTTGCCACCTTTTAGCTTACCCTGCTTTTCCTTTATGGGGTTATCAGTAACTTGAGCTTCACCACCATCCATTTTAGCAGAACCAGTGTCCTCAGGTGTTGCAACACGTGTAAGAGCATCCTTCAACTTTATAGCAGTTGTTCGCTCACACACTCGAGAAATTTCAGTAGGATACCGGTGCCTTTACATAATTGCAATCCCTTTATCATCATCTCTGTAAGGAGAAGGTTCTGTCATTCAAATGATAGTTTCTCAAAATTGAGCTAATAATCAATTAATGGTGATATGAGAAAGGCGCAGATAAGTAAAAATCACCAACCTATGTGATCGGAGAAGAGGGAGAACTTGAAAGTCAGGATCAGTGAGAAGGATGTTCTCTTGAGCATACAACTCCATTATCACACAGTGCGCATTAGCACCAATCCCAAATTGAAATAGAATAATCTGAGAACGGACGCACAGTGATGAGATGCGATGATACCGAAAGACCATCACCCTAAACAACCAAATCAAAATGACTTCCAGTTGTTTTATACCCTATCATATCCAAGCTGCCGCACATCCTCTAGGCGCCTTGTACGTATATGCTTCCTCAGCTTAAGCGTGAACCCCGAAGGAGTATTACTTTTATCCCTATAGTACATTTTCCATCGAACCAGTTAAAGCTAAACAAGCAACCAGCCAAACAAACATAAATAACTAAGACGAATCTCAGTCTCCAATCTAATCTTCCATTTCCTATTATATTATCTATGAAAATTTCAGCAAACTAGGATCGCTTCAATCACAATTCAGCCATTGCTGAGCACTGCCGTTGGAGCTTGGAAGACGAGCTAACGAAAACAGGAAAGAGCAAGAACGCAATAAATGATTTACCGAACATAAGCTGTGGTATGCAAGTGAACGCCGCTTTCCATTAGCAGCAGAACCTTCTCGCTCTCACCGGACTCCGTTACTCCGCTGCTGTTCATCAGCTTGAAAACATACGTCTGCCATCACAGCAAACGAGTTCTCGATTCTGAATGCCGATAGAAATCAAAAGAAACTGCAAGCGTAGACGCGAGAGTGGAAGGAGAAGCAGAACCTTGGGAGAAAGATCATAGACATTGGAGCAACGCATGCCGATGAGCCGCCGCAAGCACTTGACCTCTGCGGCCACATCGGCCGTGTTCATTCGCACCTTCTCCATTTCCGCTCTCCTTTCTCCCGGCCGTCCACCTCACGAATTTCGTCAATAACTGCCCTCCTCACTATTTTGCGTGGAAAAAGGCTCCTGCTCTTCGTCGACCGCCGCAGCAAATTCTTATGCTTCAGGCGGGCAGCATGCCTGATGCGAGTTCACGGCTACCAAGGTTGTCAACCCGCGGGTTGACCCAATTTAACCCTGACCTGGTGAAAAAAACGGGCCACACGCACCCGCCGGGTCGACCGCTACAAGGTACCGGGTTGGAGGTCAAATTGTGTCATTTTTTTCTTTGTTTTGCGAAATGCGCCTATTTTCCGATTTCTCTTTTCGCCTAACTCAATCTTTGGAATCCTAAGTTGAACATTTGAATATTAATGTTATGTAAGTGTGTGTGAATTTTTACTATATGTTGAATCTAAGTACGAAATGTTATTTTGGTGTAATATTATATGTTATAACTCATATGTTAGATGAGATTTGATATAATTTATCAGGATAAAATATAATGACGCTTTCCATATTTCCGGGCTAAACTGTGCTAAACCAGGTGACCCATTAACTCTTGACCCACTAGCTCAACCGGGTCCGGTTCAACCCGCGGGTTGACAACCGGCTACCAAAGGCTGGGTTTCTCTACTTGTTTTTTTTTCTTTTTGGTACATTCTCTACTTTTGGTTGCTGCTGGGCTCAGAGCATGAATAATAATGGGCCTTCTCTTTAGGTTTGCCAATTGTTTTGATGGTGGTAGGGTATTTGTTGGTTTGGTAAATAATTTAACCGTAAAATAATTTGTGGTTATTGTTAATTGCATTGTTTATATTAATTAGTTAATCGTATAGTTGATTGTTGATTATTTTGGCGGTCAATTGGATAATCGTTAAGCAAGTGATTTGGTTAAATTAATCCAAATCAATGATTGATAACCTAAATATAAGACTTCCTCCTTTTTTTCAATTGTGCATTTTTCTTTTTCTAGAATTTTTGCTCTTGTTTAAGTTTTTATCATTGAACAAAAAATTATTTAACATAGATATCAATCAATAATCAACTCAATCCAACACAAGTACACAATGACACCATTCTACTATCAAATTTGATTAAAGACGTACACAAGAATAAGGCACACAACAACTACTCAACTCATAAACCCCACAAACTTATATGGAAGCTTAAATTTTGTTGATTGTTGTTGAGCTAATGTGCAAAAGTTCATCTTTCTATTGTGCTCCTCCTAGAGCTCTCTCTTGACACCATCCTAACAAAAGGCATCTCGCCAACATAATTTTCGGATATTATCAAGAACCAATTGATCCCAACAATTTGAGTTGTTGGGAGAAGTTCAATTGTGGATCATATACCATTTTTACTAACAATTTGAACCTAAACCACTATTACAACAAAAGCAGGCAAGAGATCTTGTAGACCTTCAAACATTCTATCATTTTCAGCCTATGTGTGCAAGCTCATTGAGACCTATTATTTTATGCTTTAACTCTGAAAATGATCGTAATCATTTACCATTTAATCTTCTGTTACTAACCGTTTAACGATCAATTACCAATTAGCTATATTTGGCTCCGAGAGCCAGCCATTTACTGTTTAACCATTTAAAAAAGAGTCTAGAAAGATCGTATTGGTATCCCAAATTTTTACATATTTAATGAAAATATATTATTTACATAAATGAAAACATGATTCTAACATTTTATGAAAAGGCTTCAATTACATGCAATTTATTGGAGAATTAGCTACTGATCATCAGAACTATTTGTGTTCAGATCATTCGAACCTTGAAAACAAAAGCCGAGTCTGTTGTGATTCATTAACACTTCATACCCCAACGCAACTAATTGGACAACTAGCTACATGAAACATCTCAGCCAAAAACTGAGACATGGAGATCAAACAGAATGTACACATTAGAGGCCACTGGAGGATTTCGCTTCTGAAATACAAATCAACAGTCCTTCCAGGTCCAAGAAGGAGACAGCTTTCACTTTGGTACAACCCTCCGCATCTAACATTGAAATATATACACCCTTCTGCCAGTTTCCAAGCCCTTCAATGTAGCATCTTCGGCTGCAGACTTGTTGTCTTGCTCTCCTGCCTTGGAACTTTTTCGCCTCTTGCGAGGAGGGACTATACAATACCAAGATTACTACACACATTTCACAGAAGCAGTCACGAGACTAGTCCCTCCTCCATGACTGACCACCTGGTCCTTTGCATGGTTTGGATTCAGCTTAGATCAAAACCAGCCTCTGCATTAATTGCATACAGCAATTTTGCTTCCATTTGCTCCTTGCTGTGTACCATACAGAATATGAGTCCGAAACATAACTCGAAACATCCAGAGAATGATAGTTTATTAATCTGCTGGAACACGGGAACGAATGGAACAAACCTTCTATAAGGAGGAAGCTTTAGTAGATTCATGCAGGTAGCTGATGTCGGCAACCGGTCAAGAGCCTCGTCGGAGGCATTACCAGCAGCCCTGGAAGCAAAAACTCAAGTTTGAAAAATTATCAAATAGTTTGTTTTAAAAAAGTATTTCTTCATACCAATAATTAAAACAGGCACTCTCCGGCGGTCACTAATTACCTTTGTATGCAAAATAAGGGCTCCAGGTATTTGAATCCAAGCAACGGTCCTCTCGAGCAGCCAGTAACAAACCTAGGAGCACATTGGATGTGAAAGTTTAGAATCTCATCCTGAGGTTTGCTAGCTTCTCTAACACCCTGTGAAGTGATGCTACAGCTAATCTAACTACACAAATATGAAAAAATGATGGAAACGGAGCAAAAACATACTTCAGAAACTTCTTTTGATTCTCCAATGAAAAGCCTTTGATGACATCCCAGAACATGTCGATAACATAATGCTCCTGTCCAGATAGAATAAAGTTAGTATAAGCTTGCAACTGCAGGATTCTCTAGAGTCTTGACAGATAAAATCTAGTTACAACCGTTGCTTACTTTGTGATAACCACCAGCATAGTTGGTATGAATGCGAAGATCATCAACATCCAAACTCTCGAGTGAACCAGATATCAAGAGCTGCATCCAGATTGACATTTAACAAAGGTCAACTTCACAGCACAGAAGAATAGTAGTTCAATTTAACGAAGAAAAAAATGATAGTTCATGGGGTCCATTATTAAGGAGTAAGGACTGAAGCATTTGTACAAGGATAAAAAAGGATTTCATTTATTAAAAAAATAACACACTTTCCAGACTGAAGCAATCAGCTTAGAACAAACTTTCATATTAAAGATGTTGGTGTAAATTGCTAACAATGTCATCACAATTGAAAAGGTGACAATTGCTACGCGCAAAATGGTGATTTCAGAGTCTTCCTAAACCAGGAACAGCAAGATTCAGATTGAAATATTAGAACCACATCTACAATACGCACACCCTGATCATTAGAATATAATAAGCACCGGTTGGTTTAAGGGGTCCAGTGGGAAGTGGGAGGGTCTGTTATAAGTTCCCTGTTAAACACACAAATCGCCGTCCATCACATCCCAAGACTCGATAGAGAAGACAAAACAAGAGGTGAAGCACAACAATTCAGATATCATAATCCAATAACCATGTTCTATGACTCACAATCATAGGCACATCCAATCTTGCATTACTTATCAGCTTGGAGATTAAAATGCTAAAATCACCAAGAATACCTGAAGTTCGTGCTCGTTGAACATATCTATCCAATCTTTCTGTATGAGCTGCTGAAAGCCCCTCAAGAAATGAGAGCTTTGCTGTCGTATCTGTGCTTCACATCAAGACCATGGTCAGCATTTAGAAAATGGAAATTGCCTGCGAAATAAATATTTGAATGAATAGGATTAATCACTACCTGGAAATTCAACCGATGATTGGAAACAAGATGAATGAAGGTGATGACATTCTCATTAGTAACACGCAAATTTCTTCCTCCAGGAAGAAGCTCTTCTTCCGTTTGTTCTCCATATTCATTATTCACAATGACAAAGTAGAGCTCCAACCCTGCGATATCACCTTGATAATGCTGGACATAATACATGTAAACAAAAGTGTAAAGACAAAGAAACAACATAAAGGTTGTAACATTCTGAGAACTGCAAGGACTCAATAATATTTTATTGTGAAAAATCGAGCAGGCTGTGTCAGGACAAAAACACAAAAACTATCTAACACCTCATCCACAAACATCATTCTTTCTCTCATCTGTTCAGTAAGGATGAGCAGTGAAGGAAAAATTACTATTCAGTAAAACAAATAAAAAAGCAAGTAACAGTACCTTAAGGAATATAAGGTGGCGATACAATTCTGGATCTAGCGAGGGCAAATCATTCAGATAGTTGAACCTGGGAAAAAGCAGAAGAATATCTTAAGGATGGAAACACATTGTATTTCACATACAATAGCATGAACTCCAAAAATATGAACTATGCTATCCCTTAGAAGCACAAAAGATAGTTGTGAAAGAGTAGAACACATACTTCTGCTTTAGTTTGCTCAGGAAGAATGTGGCAAATGGAATATCAACTAGAACACCTTCAAACATAGCCTGCGTAAGGAAAGTGTAAGTATAGTAGACAGCTAGCTAAACTAATAAAGGAGGCGAGAAAACAATTTATTTTAATTCCAGAGGAACATGAAGACATTAGAAACTAGTCGAGTGAGGACTAGGAGTAATAAAATGGACCATGAATCCCGCCTACCAATGTTGTTGCAACTAATACATGCATACTTAATGTATACAACCTCAAGGAATCAAGTTCATCAAAGACATGTGAACTAACACCTAACAAGCAGTCACACCAGGCACTATGAATGTTACACAATTCAAATTCCAATGTGTTCACACCTTTGCAAGCAGAGACCCAAGGAAATGGAAAAATTGCAAATGTTGCTCGTGTATCAATCCTGATCCAGGATTAGGGTATAGAAGATGGTCAACTGTTTCCTGCAAACAAATCCACCCATGATATCAATAATCAGAATAGAAAAGGATATATTTGCTGTGTCAGAGACACTGATCATAGCCAAATATATGAAAATGCAAAATGACATGCTTTTCTCCTCCATCTCTCCCAAGCCATTCCAGTCAAAACATCTAATCCTTTGGAGGTTGATTATAGTAAGCTATTACTCATCAAAATAAATTCTCGCATGCACCCCAAAATCAATGTCGAAGATTGATTACTTAAAAAGAGATATGGATTTTTTCAATGCAATACAAACCTTGAATAAACCATACTGCACATCAAA